GTGTTACAGTGCTCACAAGTTCTGTGTCTCATTCTAATTCCTTCATCGCATGTCTTAGAACAAGTGCTCCAACTCGACCATTCCTCTGCAAACCAGTTAGGAAAGAAAACATGAAAATGGTACAATATGTTATATATGGCCCTACCTGATCAACCTAACAACGATCTATAACACTATATTGGAAATATATCAATATATCAAATCGAATTTTAGTATATTTCAACTGATTCACTACTTTCACATGGACCATAATGCACCTTGTTTACCCCCCCCAAATTTAGCATAACCATTGTTTCCAATTTAGCCTGGGTATAACAGTTACTGTAAGGCAAAATTGAAGGGAAGAGAGGACGGTGGAGACTAAGAGTTACCCGGACGACAAACATCAAAGAATGGTTAGGACACACCTATAATGGATGCGTAAGAAGAGCAGATGATCGGAACAGCTGGAGATCCATGATAGCCAACCTACTACTAGTAAATGGCAGTTGACGATGATGATGATATAACAGTGGTCCCAAGAGAAATCGGAGACAATGGTTAGGCAAAATTTGGGGGGGTAAAAAAGGTCCATTATGGTCTATGTGAAAATGGTGAATTAACTGTTTGAGTTCCATAAACTTTACATATCTCAACGCGCGTGCGTGTAATTCTTAGGTAGAGAATGCCGAGACTGAGGTCACATTCAGACTTCATTGCATTTGTAGTCGAAATCTCTCACTGGAGCCTCAGTATCGGCCGATCAAGTTACTTACTCCAATATTTTTATGATCATTTAAGGAGCTAAACAAACTAAAACACGAAAAAATGTGAATGAAGGGGTTAGTTTCTAAAGAAAAATGTTGTCAAGAATATTAATTCGTAGTTAATACTATTGGGGGATGGCAGAGCAGGCCTCAGTTGTTCAGAGGCTGGATAGCGCTATCCACTGGATAAATCTCCATCCAGTGAATAGTCATTTTGCAATTAGTTTCCCCGATACCATAAAATCCCTCGTTTAAGCCGTCCCCCGTTTTAAGCCCCCCCCCCCCCCCCCCCCCCCCC